CGGGACATTCCCCCCCCAAAAAAACCACAACAGGAATTTTTACCACCAATGTCAACAGAAACAAAATTCTTAATAGGAAATCTGTCCAGCATAAAGTACTAACAGATAGAATAACTTGTAACTGTAACCAGACTCTTGATTCGGATACAAGCTGGAATTCAAACCTCTGATAAATTAAAAAATATATACATGTATCTGACATATTATACTTAGAGCGCTCACGTGGTAAGACCTCCAATGAAGTAAAAACTGATCTGCTGCAGTTCAAAATGGAGAAGTCTAAACAGAGCTGTCAGAACAAATTTCATAAGAACAGGATACCATATTAGAGTGTACTAATGCCACAATAGCTGTAGTGGGAGCTATTACAGTATTATTTTATGGTGGCATTTCCACTGTTTTGGAAGTTGGCTAAGACAAGCCAGTTTTGATACGAGGCAAAATTTGAGACTAAGTGTGACTAATTACATGTTTGCAAATCCCCTTGAAAAGTTATCTGCTTCCAGATTAGGCTAGTACCATCCAACATATTTACCACACTTTTGGACCAACAGTCACTATGAAATACAATACATACAGGAACAGAAAAGCAAAAAAACCCCCACCAAAATAAACAAATTGAAGAAGGATGCATCAAAGATACCTCCCTTTGGGTTCAAAAGTAATTAAAACGAAACAAACAAACAAAAAAAAAAGATATATTCAGCACAGTAATAAAAATTTTCCCAGCATCATACATCTGACAAGAAAAATAAGCCATTCAGCTTTCGGCCTTGTCTGCACTGGGGATATGCCCCATCACTGCTATCTGCGTAACTGGACTGGCGCATCCCCAGCCATATACAGGAAAGTCAGCTGTTGCACGGTGGAGCTCACTGCTGTTTGCAATAGGGTAAGCCCCACCAACGGAGTGAGTCACTATACCTGTGCGTGTTCACGGTTGCACCAGTTCAGCTATTGGTGATGGCTGTAAGAAAGGCAAATCCTCCATGAAAACACGTTCTTTTGTCATATGGACGTCACTTCCTGAGTTGAACTAGAACCTGAAGTTCCTCCCCAGTGGGCCTAGAAATGTTAAGTCTTTGCCTCTCATCTTCCTTTTCCCCCACACTGCCATATACTCTTGCAAAAACCACAGGAATCTCCACCGGTTGGTTTTGCACATAGGCAGCTCTATAGTTGGGAAGATTTTCCTTCCTTTAACCCAACAAGGAAACGAGATTTCTCTGCAGGCCTTCTTGCCCCCTGCCCCCCCCAAAATCCTTCCCTCCCATTCCCAAACCTTCGGGCAGCAACCAGTTCTTTCGAAACACAGAGCTCCTTGGGCCTTTAACACGACTGCAGTATTGATAACCCATTTCTAGGAGCAGTTACATATTGGTGAAATAAGACGGGTAAGGCAACCAATTCTGCAATAACACTCTATTCTACCACCCTGAACGCGCGGTCTCCTCCCACACCATGGTGCAGCCACCAGAGGTCGCCTGTTGCCAGCTCACGTGGCGACAGCCGGGCAACAGGGCCTGGCCGACAGATACCGCCTCGCACGTTTCAACCCCCGGAGCCAGACACTCTGCGCCTACCTCCACGCCTCTACTCTAAGTGAGGCCCTGTCTCAACTCGAGTGGCTCTCCGAGCCCCGCTGCTCGCCTCCTTCCCGTGTCCTGTCGCCGAGCCCTTCCCTGTCCTCTCCGAGCGCGCTGGGACACCCCTGGCACTTGGTGCCCTCCTGCTCGGAGCCGCAGGCGGCACGGGAGCCCGTGCCCCCGGTCAAAGCCCCGCCGCACACCTGACTCTTCTCATCTGGCCTGGGGGGCAGCAACGGCAGCGGTGGTGGTGGCAGTGGCGGTGATGGGGGCGGCACCTGCTCGTCGGCTTCAGCGGGTGGCTGCCGACTTCTGGGCGGCTTCAGCGGGGACATCCACTTCATCCAGAGCTGCAGGTCTACGTCGCCCCAGGCCAGACCAGGGTCCTGGGCGGCCCGGCGCCGGAAGTCCTCATCGTAGCGCAACCAGGAGGTACCGCCATACGTGGCGTGGAACTTGCGGATCATGTCCAGGTACTTGAACATGGCCCCGCACTTGTGGGGGTGGCGCTCGCACAGCACGCTGGCGTACACCAGGAAAGCAGACACCCACTGGTCCAGCGTGTCCCCCCGCCCCTGGCCCTGGCCCCGGCCCCGATCGGGGGCCAGCTCGGTGTGCAGCAGCGAGAACAGGTCGATGAACTCCCCCCGCCAGATGCGCTCCTTGGTGGCGGGGCCCAGCTGGTGGCCCAGGGGCCGCCGCAGCCCCACGTAGGGGCTCGCCGTGGCCGTGGCGCCCGC